CTGTAACTTGCTGGCTATGCCCCTTAGAATCCAGCAGAGGGCGCTGTTGGGCAACTAAAGTTTCATCGTGTTACATTTCGTTTCTCAGAATTTTGTGACACATAGATGGACTATTATTTTTTTTACCCTCTAGTTTGTGAGGCTTTTCATAATTCACACATCCAATATCGAACCCATCAATCCGTCTTCCTGTACCCTTTTGCACCCTGCCTCCTCAGAGTGAGTCCTTGTCCTTTACAAAACACAAGCCATAGCTGTCATTTCATTTTGTTTAAACATAATTACATGACAAAGAACTTCTAACATAACTCTGATGACAGAAAACCAGTGACAGCGGCTCATTATTTTCTTGTTTCCAGACAGTAATTTTGTTAATTGCACTGTGCTTTGTTGTTTTCTGAACAAACAACTGAAGGGCATGAACCGAACACCACGATTGGGGCTGCATGACTTCCCTGATTGCTTTTATGCTTGACGAATATGTCTTTCCTCTGTACCCGTCGGGGTTCATTTCAGAGCCTTCATGGGTACTGAAATCCTGACAGCCTCACCTCCCTTATATAAGACAGTGTAGTCTTTATTTATAGCCCATGCCTATGGGTTTTAAATCATCTCCAGATTCCTTTAGTACCCAACACAATGTCAATACTATGTTCATAGTTGTACACTGTTGTGCTTAAGGAATAACGACAGGAAAAAAAGTGTTCATATTCAGGAGGGACGTGGCTTTCTCCCACCAATATTTTTGATTTGGGTTGTTTGAACTTGAGGATGCCAGATCTATGCATAGAGAGGGTGGACCGTATTTCTACACCACAACTACCACTACGTCTGTGTCAGACCTAGGCATTGCCCTGAAAGCCAGTGCAGAGCAGAGATGTGTATAAGATACCAAAGTGAAAACATGTAACGACACCAGTAAAAGGTAAATCCATGATATCTTTCCTAAAAAGAATTTTAAAACCTAAGATTGATCCTCTTGGGGAAATACTAAACTGTTTTCTTCAGATGCCCTACAACTGATGAATGCATCAAGACATATATATTATAATATATTACACACATATATAATATTTTTTTGATCCATGCATACACACACACACACACACATATATGTATACACACACAGTGGTGTGTTGCTGAGCATAAAGTAGATGAAGAATGAAATTAAGTTGTTCATGAGGAAATGGATGAATTTGGAAACCATCCTCTTAAGCCAAGTAAACCAAATGCAGAAGGACAAAGGTCATTTCTCTCATTTGGATATTGGACCTAAAAGACAAACATATATATGAACATATACCCATACACATATAATACATATATAACATGTGTCTATTACACACATATATGCACATTCTTGAATGTATCATGTATGTGTATCATATATAACGTTGTGTCTGACAAGTACTTCAAAGACATCTTACATGATTTTGTTGTTTTTCTTGTTTATGTAATTTTGAGGTAGAAAAGTTGACATTCTGCTTTTATTCATTCATTATATATTGTGATAAATTTCCAGACAGGGGTATTTTCACATAAGACTCATGGATTAGATGCAATTAACCAAACACAATAGTAAAAATGAAATATAGTACTTTTAGTTTTTTGGTAGTTCTGTTTTTTCCCCCTCTCTTTTTTATTGTCAAGGTGATGTGCAGAGGGGTTACAGTTCCATAAGTAATGTAATAAGTACATTTCTTGTCAAACTTGTCCCTTTCCTCATTTAGTTCTGGATTTTGAACTCAGGGCCTTGCACTTGCTGGATTCAACTCTACTACTGATCCAAGACTCCAGTCCTCTTTTGCACTAATTTTTCATCCTCCTCCCCCTCCTCCTCCTCTTTTGTGCTGGGACTGGGGCTTGAGCTCAGGGCCTGAATACTGTCCCTTAGCTTTTTATTTTTGCTCAAGGCTAGTGCTCTGCTACTTATGCCGTGCCTCAATTTCTGGCTCTTTGGAGGTTACTTGGAGACAAGGGTCTCACTGACTTTCCTGCCCAGGATGGTTTTAAACCAGGATCCTCAGATCTCAGTCTCTTGAGACTGAAGCTGAGACCCCAGGATTATAGGTTTGGGTCACAGGTGTGGCCCAATGCATTGTTGATTGAGATAGGCTCTTGATTTTTGCTTGGACTGTGATCATGCTTCTGATCATAGTTGCAATGACAGATGTGTGTTATATACTGAGCTTCTTCCATTGAGATGGAGGCTCATAATTTTTTTTCTTCCTAAGCTGGGTAGAATTTCAGACCTCTGAATCTCAGTATTGTATGTGGCTGGGACAGGTATGAGCCACTGGAAAGTATGTCATGGAAAAAAATCATTTCATTTTTTAAATACAGTTTAAATGTGTCGAGATATAACAATAAGGCCCCCCTGCCCCATATAAATACCATTTCTTTGTCTCCTCAAGAATTTTTTTATACTGCATTTTGGAAAAAATTTGGTTCTTTTTTCCTAAGATAATGAAGACTTTTTAAAAAATGAGCTGGGGAAAGTAGGGGGATAGTAGTTCACAGATGAAAGTAATTCTGATTGACACACAGTATCTTTGAATATGAGTGGTCTCAAAACAAAAAATAACATAACATTCAGGTCTGCTTAAAAAAAAGCAACAACTAGAAAGCTGTTGTACTTCCTATTCAGGATTCTGTGTTAATTATAGAGAACGCCAACTTAAAAGCCAATCATTTATTATAAAAGACACAGCTGCTCATGAAAAAAAATCTTAGAATGCTCCACTCTATTTTTAGTCTTTCTGTGTTACTTTTGCATCTGTACTTTAATGTTGCATTTTTTGTTTTAATCTCACAAGGGATTTAACAGCCTTGCTCTTTTGTTACCTACAGACTAATCCTTTTCTTTCATCTCCCTTTTTCTGGCATGTTCCTTATCCATCTCAGATCTCCTTTTGTGGGAAATGGTCAGGTTACTATTTCCTTTAATGATGGCCAGCTTGTGGGAGCTGATTCTCTTAGTATTTGTTTCATCCACAGTATCTTCAGCGCTTCTGTATTCTTGAAAGATATTTGGAGGAAATGGGAATCATTGGAAGTTTGTGAAGTGGCATCTCCAGAAGCCCACTGTGGCTCCCACAATACAAAACCACACCCAAGGTAACCAGAAAAGACACAGAGTCATTACAACAGTTGAGCCATGTGGTGCAGACCTTTGATTTCCTGTATAATAAATGCCGAGTCCAATTAGCTTCTCAGAGCCTGGATAGTTGTAACTTATGAACACAATGTTTCTGGGCAAAGTTTCTAGCAGAAGTGAGAATGGCTCACATTTATTTTTCTTTCGTTATTCTATTGAGAAATACAAATGATGGTCAGCCCCTTGGAGGAATAATAGTTATCATTAAAACTTTTTATTGTAAAGGTGATGTACAGAGAGGTTATATTTACGTAAGTCAGGTATTGAGTACATTTCTTTTTGAACAACCTCTTCCCTCATTTTCTCCCAGATCATTTTTTTGGTCAGTCCTGGGCCTTGAACTCAAAGCTTGGGTACCATCCCTGAGCTGTTTTGCTCAAGGCTAGCACTCTACCATTTGAGCCACAGCTCCACTGGCTTTTTGATAGCTAATTGGAGATAAGAGTCTTGCCGACTTTCCTGCCCCAGCTGTCTTTGAATGGTGATTCTCAGATGTCAGCCTGGTGGGTAGCTTGCATTACAGGCATGAGCCATCAGTACTCAGTGCTATCATTGTTTGATCACTTGCTATTCACCAGGCACTGTTGTAAACAATTTACAAGTAGGGCTGGGAAGGTGGCTCAGTGGTAGAGCGCTTGCCTTGCATGCCAGAGGCCCTGGGTTCGATTCCTCAGCACCACATAAGCAAAAAGAAAAAAGCCGGAAGTGGTGCTGTGGCTCAAGTGGTAGAGCGCTAGCCTTGAGCTGAAGAGCTGAGGGACAGTGCCCAGGCCCAGAGTTCAGGCCCCACAACCGGACCCCCAAAAAAACCCAAAAAACAAAAAAACAATTTACAAGTACACATTAGCTTGATTTGCAAGTGTGCCATTATTATTATTTGTAGCTAAAAATATATTAAACCATTGATCCAACATTTTCTTCCAACATTTCTCTTCCTTCCTTCCTCTTATCTTCTCTTTTTCTTTTTCTTTCTTTCTTTCTTTCTTTCTTTCTTTCTTTCTTTCTTTCTTTCTTTCTTTCTTTCTTTCTTTCTTCCTTTCTTCCTTTCTTCCTTCCTTCCTTCCTTCCTTCCTTCCTTCCTTCCTTCCTTCCTTCCTTCCTTTCTTCCTTTCTTTCTTTCTTTCTTTCTTTCTTTCTTTCTTTCTTTCTTTCTTTTTTTCTTTCCTCTCTCCCTCCCTTCCTCCCTTCCTCTCTTTCTCCCTCCCTCCCTCCCCCTCTCCTTCTTTCTTTCTCTTTTTCTTTCTCCCTTTCTCCCTTCCTCCCTTCCATTGAGCTTTTTGGCTCAATGCTGATGCTCTACCACTTGAGCCACAGCTCCGCTCCTGACTTTTTATTGGTTAGTTGAAGGTAAGAGTCTTATAGATTTGTCTGCCTAGGATGACTTCAAATCTTGATCCCCAGATCTGAGTCTCCAGAGTAGCTAGGATTACAGACATGAGCTGGGTGCTATTACCACTATTCTCACAATCATGTAGCTGATAATGTAGAAAATGTATCCCCATGTGATGAAAAAATTGACCGTAAACTCTTTAATGTTGCTGAATGTGTCAAAGCAGAACTTAATTCAGTTGATTTCAACACTGTAATAAAGGTTCTTTCTGATTTTACATTTGACTTAGGTGTAACATTGTTGGGTACAGCATGGCTTACAATGACCACGAGAGGGCAGCATAACACAACTTAATACACTGAGAGGAACCAAAACACCCTCTTCCCCTGCCCAAAACCCAAAACCAAACTCCACAATCATCATCATCATCATCATCATCAACAACAACAACAACAACAAAACCTACCTTATGCTTATGTCTCTACGCCGAAGTAAATTACATTTGAAATTGAATATTATGTCCCTTGATCTCATGGAGAAGCAATCTGTTAAGAAACTTTCTTTCTCTTGTTCAGTTATTAGCCATTTAAAGCCTGTGTCCAGGTTTGTGCTACATTTTCTCTTTTAGCACCTATATTAAGTGCTTAAGGGAATATAACAGAGAGGGGGTGAACTAGTTCAAAGGGTGCTGTACCCGTTTATGGGATTATCATGACTAATGTTACTACTAATATTGCTAACAAAGATGTATTAAAATAGCTGGTGGCCCATGTCCATAACTCTAGCTATTCAGGAAACATAGATCAGAAGGATTATGGTTTGAGGATAGCTTGGGCATAAGTACAAGATTCCCATTTCAATTACTAGCAGGGTGAAGTGGTACATCACTTTCACCCTAGGTACGTGGGAAGGGTGTATAGGGGGATCAAGGTCCAGGCTGGTAGGGTATTCATGCTAGACCCTATTTGCTAAAGGGCTGGGGGGAGTGGCTCAAGCAGTAGAGCATCTGCCTAACAAGCACAAGGCTCTGAGTTCAAATCCTAGCACTTCTCTTGCATGTTAAAAAGGCTTATTTAGAGGTGAGTTAATGAATATGTCTATTAACTTTAATTTGATCTTCTTCCCTCCCTCCTTTTCTCCCATTCCTTCCTTCCTTCCTCTTTCTTCTCTTTCTCTTTCTTTCTTTTTCTTTCTCTTTCTTTCTTTCTTTCTTTCTTTCTTTCTTTCTTTCTTTCTTTCTTTCTTTCTTTCTTCTTTCTTTCTTTCTTTCTCTCCTTCCTTCCTTTCTTTCTCTCTCCTTCCTTCCTTTCTTTCTTCTTTCATTCTTTTCTCCTTCCTTCTTTCCTTTCTTTCTTTCTTTCTCTCTCCTTCCTTCCTTCCTTTCTTTCTTTCTCTCTCTCCTTCTTTCTTTCTTTCTCCTTCCTTCCTTTCTTCCTTTCTTCCTTCCTTTCTTCCTTTTCTTCCTTCCTTCCTTTCTTTCTTTCTTTCTTTCTTTCTTTCTTTCTTTCTTTCTTTCTTTCTTTCTTTCTTTCTTTCTTTCTTTCTTTCTTTCTCCTTTCCTTCCTCCCTTTCTCCCTTTCTCTCTATTTCTCTTGCTATTTCCCTCTTTCTCTCTCCTCCCTCCCTCCCTTCTTCCCTCCCTCCCTTCTTCCCTCCCTCCCTCCCTCCCTTCCTTCCTTCCTTCCTTCCTTCCTTCCTTCCTTCCTTCCTTCCTTCCTTCCTTCCTTCCTTCCTTCCTTCCTTCCTTTCCTTTCCTTTCTTGCCAGTACTGGGTCTCACATTCTCCCTCAGGTTTTTTGTTCATAGCTGGCACTCTACCACTCAAGTCACACTTCTTGTTCTGGCTTTTTGCTTACTAATTGGATAGAAGACTCTTGTAGGTTCGTCTTCCCTGAGCTGACTTCATACAGGAATGAGCCATGAGAACCTTGCTCTGTTTGCTCTTTCTACAATGTAGCTATATCAAAACATCATGTTGTGCCCCATGAAATATACAATTATTATTTGCTAATTAAGAAAGGCTTCATGATGAAGTGGTCAGATTCTGGATATAAAAACATTTTATGCCTTAAAGGATTTATGTTGTAAGCATTGTATTGTTATTTTGATCTGTGGGGATTTATTGAGTTTCCTTTCTTCTTTACAACTCGCTCATGAAGCTTGACCTTGGGGATTTCCCCCCTTGTTCCCAGGAATCTTGGCTTCTGGATGCTGAAATTCGTGTGGTGGAGTTTATGGTGTTGCTCCTCAGTTTCTCCATTTCATAAAGGACCCACAGGGTGTCCCCAGGCTGTTCTGTTGTTTACATCCACCTCACACAGAAAGCCTTTATTCCAGGGACAACTGAGTGTTCAGCATCCTCTTTCTGGAAGGTTCCTTAGAGAATTGAATCTATCAGAAATCTACCAAGTAAAGTAGTAAGGTATTTGGGGCATGGCTAACAGACGATTCCTCTCAGGACACCTGCTTTCTCCTGACCTCCTTGTTTACACTCCTTCTTTACCAGTGTTTCTGCCTTTGGTGGCCTCTGAAGAGAGGTTGCTCTTCATCCCACACTTCCTGTTTAAACCATGGCTCTGCATTTACCTCTGCCAGCGTTCAGACCTTGCTGGTGTACACTGAACATTTCAGCATTGCTCACAATTGTTTGTCAACAATGGGCCCAGATAACAGCATGTCAGCACGCAGCAGCATCGTTACTCCTACTTATCCTTTCTTAGTCTTTTAACCACCTCTTCTGGTAAGGTGAAAGCACCTTCCTTTGTTCTCTGCTTTCATTGTGTGTGTGTGTGTGTGTGTGTGTGTGTGTGTGTGTGTGTGTGTGTGTGTGTGTGTGTGTGTGTGTGTGCCAGTTCTAGGGCTTGAACTCAGAGTCTGGTCACTATCCCTGAGCTTTATGGCTCAAGGCTAGGGTTCTACCACTTGAGCCACAGCTACTCTTCTGGCTTTTTAGTGGTTAATTGGAAATAAGAGTCACATGGACTTTTCTGCCCAGGTGGGCTTCAACCCACAACCCTCAGAGCTCAGTCTCCTGAATAGCTAGGATTACAGTCATGAGCTCAGGTCTTTGGTATATATATGTTTTTTTTTTTTTTTTTTTGGTCTGTCGTGGGGCTTGAACTCTGGGCTTGGGTGCTATCCCTCAGCTCTTCAGCTCAAGGCGAGTGCTCTACAGCTTGAGCCACAGTGCCATGTCCGGTTTTCTAGTGGTTTATTGGAGATAAGAGTCTCACGGACTTTCCTGCCTGGGCTAGCTTTGAACCGTGATCCTCAGATCTCAGCTTCCTGAGTAGCTAGGATTACAGGTGTGAGCCACTGGTGCCTGGCTCTTTGGTTTATATTTTTATACCTGCTTACCAGTTGCCATTAGATTGATTAAAAACTCAATTGATTTCCATGGACTAATTGATACAGTTAATACATTAGATTAGATTAATCATTATGCAGTCTTCAGTTCCTAAATAAGTGACAAATAGTAAAGAGAGTAAGGTCAATAATCTTCAAATGGGTATATGGATACAGATAGCTTAAGTAGGACACATTTCCACTTATTTTTCACATTTTGAAACATGTTCAAATCTGTCTGACTGACTGCAACCAGCCTGTGGTGATTTTGGCCATCTCTCCTCAACAATTCTTCTACTTTCCTGTCCATGCAGAATGCATGCATTTCCATGATGGGTACAATCTTCAGGCATCAAACAGAGAGTTGTTAGGAATTTGACATGAAGGTTAAAAATGTGAATGTTTCTAGTGACTGAATAACCAATCAGCATGCAAATCACATAGCCTCTAAACTTTTTTCAGCTGATAGAGTGCTCACTTTTTGATAAAAGGTGATGGCAGTCATACAACTTAGAAAGAGTACAAAGAACTGAGTGATATTATGAAAATAAAATTGTATTCATTGCTACTAGATAATTTGTTTGAAATTATTTGATCAATGCTTACAAATGAAAAGAGAAAATAGAAATTGATCAGGTCTAACCCTAGCATTTTAGAGGCTGAGATCTGAGGATTACAGCTTAGGCAGACAATCTTATGAGACTCCTATCTCCAGTCAACCAGCAAAAAGCCAAAACTGGAGGCTTAAGACTGTGAACAAAAAAAGTAGGGCAAAGAGGCAGCACGAGGCCTTGATTTCAAGTGCACACGTGCACACATGCACACACACACACACACACACACACACACACACACACTTGCATACACACAGAAAACAGAAATATTTATGCTGGACTTTACGTAATTGACTTTAATTCTTAATTTCATAAACTAATTGGAAACAGTATGAGATGTATGAGATACATTTCCAATGATGCATTTGCTATTGGTCAAAATGTATAAATTGCACATACTATCCTATGATAACAAATAGAAATAATGGTCATAATTCAATCCAGAAATAAGCTTTTACTACTTGGACCCTTATATCTTACTGAATTTTTAAATTATATATGTGTATTTTTATGGAAGAATGTGGTGAAACAATCAACAAAATATGTTGAGACACAAAGACCTCCAGATAAACAAGTTTAAGGAGAAAAGAGAATTTTGTGGAATCTTCAACTTTAAAAATATCTTGTCTTTTAAAAAATGTTTAATAGTGGGAGTGCATTGCTTTGGCATTTTGGTTGCAATGGATAGAGTGAAGAGTAAAGCAGCAGTTTTACTTAAAATGTCAGTCTTTTAATGTAATGGGAGTCCTATCACTTGCAACTGTCTCAACTTAAATCGTGTCTTTTTAAAATCTTAAATGTCAATTTAAAAAAGCATGTAAGAGGATATATAATTTTTGTCAGTTGTTTTTTCCCTAAGGATGTTGCTTTAGACATCATGGGCTGGACATGAAGGGGGTCCAGGTTTAAGTAATTTTTCCCTTTGCTCACTGAAGACTAAATCTCGGAAGGCTTTGTACTTACCAATATTACAGGGAAAAAATTTCCCTAATTGCCTTTACCCACCAAAAGGAAACCAAACAACCATGTCTCCATATTTGTTCTGAGGTCTGAGCGATCAGGACACACTCTTTCTCCCAGAGAAAACCTGAGCTTCTGTTGTAGGTAGAACCCAAGAGAGATTTTGAACAGCTACCAGAGGCCACAGATACTAAGAAATGGAGAGGAAAGAAAGGAACCTGAGCTAAAGGAGAATGATGGGTTCTGATCTCATCACAGTGAGATGATATGTATGGCCACCACGGTGGTCATATATGTTTCAGAGTGCATGCTATGCTATGTGAACTATTGAGTCATGTCATGCCTCATCTATGGTCACAAGTTGAACATTTGTCACCAAAGTCTACGAATACACAACTACTATGTTCTTTCCTATGTTGTATTTTTTCCTCTGCCTACAGATGTGAGAAATGTTCCCAGATTTTGTTCTTTTGTTCGTGTACATATATATGTATGTATATTGCATATATATGGAGAGCGAGAGATCGAGAGAGAGTGAGGAAGAGAGAGAGAGAGAGAGAGAGAGAGAGAGAGAGAGAGAGAGAGAGAGAGAGA